TGGCAGCTGCAGCGAGCGCCCCAAAACCCCGACCCGGAAGCGGAAGCCGCCCAGCCCTGGGCTGCAGCGCGCGGCGCGGGCCCTCGCCAGGCCCCTCAGGGCAGGGCTGTCCGCGGCGGTGCCTGACCACTAGGTGCCGCCGGCCCGGGCCCCTCAGCACAGCGCTAGTGGGGAAGTCTCTATCCACCCGATCGCAAGCCGTGACCCCGCGCGGAGGGTCCGGGGTTTTTGTCTCAGGCGTCGCAGCGGCCACCCAAGCGGGGCGAGAGGCTGCCGCGCAATAGCCCTGAGTCGTTAAAGCGACTGCGTGAAGGAAGGACCTCGGCCAGTGACGTCATAGGGAAGCCGCCGCGCTGAGAAAGCGGAAGTGCCGCTGCTGCCGCCGCCGCACCGGTGAGTGGGGCCCTGGCCGCGGCGGGAGCGTGCGTCTCTGCCGTGTAGCAGAGTCCTTAGATACAAGCTGTCACGTCATGAGTGCTTGAAATGGGGGGGGCGCCGAGCCTGTCTTCCCTGTGTTAAAAATGCCCGAAGAAGCAGCAAAACTCTTATTGTTTGTGGTTGGCCCAACGCGGGGTTTTGGGGGGAGGAAAACAAGCAAAAGAGGCGGTTCCGGTGCGGTCATCGAACAGGGAAACCAGCGACTGGCGCAGCCCCGCTCCGCGCTCGGCCGTCTCGCTTGCGAGGCGGCCTTGGCTTTCCTGCGTGTTTCATAATCGCTGTTTACGTCTGACCCGTCGGCATTTTGGGAAGCCTCGTGGATGTGGGAGCAGCCGGCCCCGCGGACGGGCGAGGAATTAAGCGCGTTTGAAATGAACGCCCCCAAAAGCAGGGGTTTGTGAGTGAGCGGAGAGCAGGGGGGTTTGTTTCTGCAAATACGCGTCGCTGCAGCGCTCGCAAAAAGCAGCTCGAGGGTCAGGTTGTCGCGTCGTTTGACTCTTAATTTGGGTCAGGTTGCTGCCTCGCTTCTTTGACCCTTAATTCACACGGTTTCCAAATGGAAAATTTATTTTCTCTGCTAAAGTGGGAGACAGAAAAACCATCGATGAAAAGCTCCTACGACTTCCTTCTGCCTAGGGTGACTGCAGGTCCCGGGTTGGCTGGGGGCAGCCCCAGGCTTCGGAGGCTGTCTCGGCACAGTGGCCGCTGGAGAAAATTCAAGCAGAAGTCCCAGACCGGTGGGAACCTGGGAGCCGCGAGGCCGTGGCTCTGTGCTTGTGTGTGTGTGCCGTGCTGCCCCACGGGGCCCTGCTCCTGGGAGCTGCGGGGCTGGAGCAGCTGTTGGGACACGGGGGAGCGTGGTGGTGCCTTTGCCACTGGAGCCGGCTGGAGTGGGAGCACTGCATGAGGTCTGGCTGCTCCACACTGACCGCATCCCGGCTGTGCATGTGCACCCTGGGGCTGAGCTGGGACGGGCCAGCTGCATTGCAGCCCCCATGCAGAGAGCCCAGCTGTGCCCTGCCCTAACCAGGGTGGTGGGCACATGGCCAGGATGTGGCTACAGGTGCTGGGGTGGGGCTGGAGCTGAGAGTCAGCCAGAGCTCCTATAGTATCCCCAGCTTGGCTGGCATCACAGCCCCAGTGCAAGAGGCACCGCACTCCCCAGCACGTCCCAGGCTCAGGCCACAGCTCTGCTGACAGGCACCATGCTCCCACCACCTGCTCCAGTCCTGCACGCTGCTACACCCTGACCCAGTGCGCGCAGTGTGCGTGTGCACATCCCCCCCCCCCCTCCTTAGATTTTCTTAAAATACTTATGGTCCCCTACTTTTACCAACATTGTGTCATGATTTCAAAGTATCTGGAAATTGAGCCTGACAATCTGCATTTGCCCAATTGCTTTCCAGAGCTCCCAAAGCAAGAAGATGCCTAAAGTAAAGAGAAGCAGGAAGCCTCCTCCAGACGGCTGGGAACTGATTGAGCCAACACTGGATGAGCTGGATCAAAAGATGAGAGAAGGTAAGCAACAAAGGTGCACTCCACTCAAGACCTGAGACTGCTGCAGGGCAGGGTGGAGGTACACCGTCAGATCTCTACAGGGAGCAGCTTGCATAGCAAAGCCTCGCACTGTTTGGTTCTAGTCTGCTACCACTCTTGTTCTTCTGGAGACTCAAGATGTTTCTTCATACCTGCCTTTTCCTTACCATGATGCCCGTTACCTTCTGATCTTGTATCAGTTCGACGTCTCTCATTTTTACCCCCTCTGCAGTGAATCCTATTTTTCTTCACAAACCTTAAACTGCAGTTTTTTCTCAGAGCACTGGCTCTTTATGAATGCATAAGAGTACATTGACTTGTAGGCTAAAAAGATGCAAGTGAGCCGAGATCCAATTTCTGTGTCCTTTCATTCTCAGCGGAGACAGAGCCTCATGAAGGAAAGAGGAAGGTGGAATCCCTGTGGCCCATCTTCAGAATTCACCATCAGAAAACTCGTTATATCTTTGACCTTTTCTATAAGAGGAAAGCTATTAGCAGAGGTAAGCAGCCAAATTACTTGCTCTTGCAGTGAGATTATCACAGTCTTAGTGTGCGGTGCCTGAGTAACTAGTCAATGGATGGAAGCCTGAAAGTTACAGTTGGGAAAGCATTAAATTGTTTTAAAAAAAATCAGCATGTGTTTACTAGGGGTGTGCGAAGCGGGCAGTACTCTATTCTGATTCAGCCCGGTTTGGGGGACAGTGATTCGAATCACTGTCCCAGTTCAGTTTGGCTGAATCTGAAAATTAGATTCCGATTTGGAGAATCAGTGATTCAGCCATAGACACAGCTTTATGTTTTTCCGATGAACCTCAAGGTACCAGGCACGGCTCATAAACGTTGACATGGGGCGGATGGAGTGTCCCACAGGAGTGCAGGGGGGGTCCCCCGCACGCTTGGCAGCAGACCCCAAAGCACTTCTGGGCCCGCTGCCGAGCATATGCCCACCCGCCCCCACTGTGGGACGCTCCATCCATCCCACCATCTCGGCGTTGACAAGCCACGCCTGGTACCTCGAGGTTCATAGAAAAATTGTGTAAAGCTGTGTCAATGGCAGAATTGTCGAATCTGACTCGATTTGGAGAGATTAATGGGTCTCCTGATTAGAATTGGCCACCTAATTGGGCCAAATCTCCTCAGAATAGAATCAGTGACTGAAGCTTCACACAATCCTAGTGTTTACCTCTGCTTAGTTCCAGTTGTTAGCAAATGAAGTCAGTAAGAACAAGATGCAGAGCAGAGATTAATGCTTTCAAATAAGTGAGGACAGATACAAGTACAGTCTGGTGCTTACCTACCACATCTTGTCTGCAGAGCTGTACGAGTACTGCATCAGAGAAGGATATGCTGACAAAAACCTGATTGCAAAGTGGAAGAAGCAGGGCTATGAGAACCTCTGCTGCCTGCGTTGCATTCAGACCCGGGATACCAACTTTGGAACGAACTGCATCTGCAGGGTCCCAAAAAGCAAGCTGGAAGTGGTAAGAAAAGATTGGCTCTTTTCCTAATCCCAGGTACCAGGGTCCTACTGTGCTTTTTGGCCAAACAGTGGTAAGAATGTAAGAATAGAAGAGATCTCCTGGGTCGGCCAGTCTAGGCTCCTGCCATGAGTGACTGGTGCCTCCTGAATCTCAGGCACCCGCAGAAGCCACTGTTGGCGGCAGCCCTGTCAGGGGGGACACCAGCCCTACCAACAGCATCAGTGTCCCCCATTGGGGGGGGACACATGCACCCCCGTGCACTCTCTACCAGTTGTCTATGGCTCCTGCTGTTGTATGACAGATTCTGCAAAGTGCCTGTAAAGTTCAAGTGCCCATAGGCCATTGCTTATAGCCCTATAGGCTTCTGTGACCCTTCTTGATAATTTTGATGGTAATTTCTGAACAAGAATGCCTAAAAGCAACAGAAAAGTGTACCTAATAAAGTCTCACCTTATTAAAAAGGAGTTTTTCTCCAACTTGAGCATCTGGCTTCCTGAACCAGGTATTTTTCTCCCTTCGAGAACATCTGCTCTCTGTGTAAGGTGGTGATTAGGATGCTTGTTTTTTGTTTTATAGGGGAGAATCATAGAGTGCACCCACTGTGGATGCAGAGGTTGCTCTGGGTGAGAAGTCTTTAAATACTGGACACTGCTTTTGAGTATCAATTCTACACCTTGGACTGTTGCAGCTAAATTTGTCTTCTGTAAGCCCTGCAGTGAGTGGACCTTTCCAGATAGCAGTTGGAACAGCAATGCATTCACCTGGATCTGTAAACTCAGTAGTGAGCTGTCTTTGATTAGTTGTGTGTAACCATCTAATTTTTAAAATAAAATAAGAACTGTGTACAACTCTTGTCACAGTCTTGTGATAGAGAACTTCAAAGGACTGATTTATCCACACACACCCCTTCCCCAGGAAGTGGAATGGTTCTTTACCAAGCTGTTCTGGCAGCAGCCAAAATACCCGAGAATTAGGCCATCCTAAACAACTGACAACTTGAGATTCTATTAAAGCAGACATACTTGTGCTCTTGACTTTACTGTTCTCCTTGTCTAACTTACATAAGAAACAGTCTGCTGCTTCAGAAAAGCAAAATAGTAAGAACAGCCATTGACTGGGTCATACCAAAGCTCCACCTTGCCCAGTCTCTTATGTCACATAGTGGCAGAGAGGGGATGCTGAAAGGGAGAGTGAACAGGGCATGACCAGGGTTTCTTCTTTGTTCCTCTCTCACTTGCAGCCTCCAGTTCTTAAGCTCCAGGAAATTCTGATTCACAGGCTGTGCTCTTAACTCCCATGCTCAATAACTACTAATGCCCAGTCCTTTTTTGACTCCAGTTCAGCTGTCAGCTTCCACATCTTGTGGCAACACGTTCCCCACTTCAATTACCTGCTCCGTGAAAGAGTCTACCTGCTGTTTTTACTCCACTGGGCACTACTTATGCAAAACAGGTGAAACACAGTAGAGGCCCACGCAGTGACCTACCTCTGTAGTTCATTTGCTAAGATCTTTAGTAATTGAAGCCACCTCCTTTCAGAAGCTTGACACTTAGTGTTGTCAAAAAGGGAAGTTTTACCAGGAAGACAGCCACCCACCAGATACTATACAGTATTAGGCAGTCTTTCCCTCAAAATAAGGTACTTTATTAAGCAGTCAAAATATACATGTATAACACTTCCTGGGTTCTGAAGTACAGTGCAGCCTGCTAAAGATGTTGAGAACAGCCTTCAAGTAGCCCCAATACCTGAAGTGGTATTTTCCATATGTGGAATCTGACTAACTTGCTCCCTTCTGCTACTGATTCGGCTTGTCCTGGGTCTGCACATCCTCTGTGCTGACTTGGTCTGAGGAAGGTTTAGGTGTTCTGTATTTTGCCCATGGGTGTGGAGTCTCCTCTGCTGCCATTACTTTAAGCCACTGGAAATAGTAGCCACGGAAACCATCAATCTTATCCAGATAGTTGTTCTTTGACTTGTACTGCACATAAAAACACAAGGGGACAAATTAGAGTGGCTGCAGTCTGCTTTGATTTTACATACTGGGAAAAGAATGGCTACTCCTTGGTATATTGACCTGTCTATGCAGCAGCCTATCTAGTTTAATGCATCTTTGAAATTACCATTACAAGGGAGATTTGAAGCCTCGTAGCAAGCACTTAAATGCAGCCTTCTGCTATGTACTACGTGTATATAATACGTTCCCCACCAAAGCAGCATCTAGTCTCACCAATACCCCTCCACATGATAATATCTGCTTTTTAGCCTTGATCTTGAATGCCCCTGTGTTACCTACCCTGTCAAATGAAGGTGGGTACTGAGCTGCAAACTCCAGCTGTTGTATGATAACTTCATTGGGAGGCACCTGGTTCCTTCTCATGTCTTCCAGGATCTGTTTAAGGTATGTGTAGTTCAACCGCTTCACAGCCACATTGATGAGGGTACTATAGACGTGGGCGTTGGGAGTTATCCCAGACCTCTGAAAAACACACCAACATTAAATGTTTGAACGTGTCCACTGATCTCCTTGGGACACCCTGCATGAGCAATAAAAGGACCTGCAAAGGTGGATCTTAGGCCACTGTTCTAGTGTGACTTCAGTGCTGGCCAGGAGCGAGAGAGCTGAAGTGTAAATAGTTTCACCCTGCTCCTCCCCGTAAACATACAAATAAGAGGCGTTTCCTTATGGATCCCAGACCTGCTGGGGACAAGAGGAAGGGCCCACCACACAATAAATGCAACTGCTTTACCTGTAGTTTTTGTGCTTACTCCAACAATCAAATTCTCCTTCCCACTCCCCCTGCACTAGTCTAAGAGTATGGTGCCACAAGAGATCTAAACTCCTTTGGTCAGTTATTTGAGCCCAAAGTAGACACTGGTATAGAAAACAACAGGATCACTGACTGAAGGAACTCTGAAGGTAACTCCCGTCTCAGGAGAGTAACATTTTCTGAGCTTTGGCTGTCATTAAACTTCCAGTGGCTGGAGCTCATAGATATTACCTTCATATCAGACAGTAACTGCAGTCCATCTTTCTCCTTGTGGCAGGCAATTGCCAAGTTACAAAAAGTATGTAGATTGGGCGATAGTCCCCTCTTCACTAGAGCTGGCAGCAGAGCCTGCAACAGAAATCCACAAACATTCTAGAGTGGAGGGCTGGTCTCACCTGAGATTAAAAGGCAGCAAACACTTATATGCAGATTAGGTCTCACTACAGTCATTCAGGGGCTCTTACCTTTGCACCTTCTAGGTCTCCCAATTTACTTTTCTTTCTCAGTAAAGTATTAAAGAAAGTCAGATCCACTGGCACTTTATGTTCATCCATGACTGTCAGCAAAGAAGACTCTGACTGGCTCAGAGGTTCCACAAGCTCAGCCAACAGTGTAAAAGTTTTAATATTAGGTGCCACATCATCCTCTTTCATTTTATTCAAGAAGCCTTCCATGTTTCCCATCAAAGCCAATCTGTTGGAAGGCGTAGCTACTGCCCCTAAAGAAACCACGTCCTTAGAGATTTTTGAGTCCAGCAAGTTGGGCGGGTTGCAAGGCAGCTCCAAATTGTGACCATGGTTTTCTGAAGGTTGGTCTGAAACAGTCTGATTCCTATCAAAGACCACCAAGTCCCCAGCCATGCTATGTTCTACTCTCTCACTGTTTGCAGCAGCCTGTACAGTTCCCATCCTGGCCTGATTCTTGCCCACAACTTTGTCTTCCTTGCTGACCGTCTGTTCCTCAGGTTGTCTGGAATTTCCCAAAAACAGTTGTTTTTCCATGGTTTCTACATCCAGCTGTGCAGGAATTTCACTGGCTGCTTTCTTCTTTTTCTGACCCGCCGCCTTTCGACCCTGTGTACCCGTGAGCTTTGAGAGAGACGGGTTCTCCTCTGTGGGTCTCAGCAACAGATCCGAGGCCAAGGCTGGATCACCTATTGCACAATCCCGTGCAGCACAGAGCATTAGGTTGTAGATGAAACTATCAGCCTTTATGCCCAGCTGTCTCATTTGTTGCCAAACCTGTTTTGACAAAAAAGGAGAGAGAAAGAAGCTTAAATATGAGGTACATGAAACACCCGCAGTATTTAGCTAGTGGGATGTTTCTAGTTAGAAGTAATTGGCCATATTTATCTACTGTAATGGACTCAACAAGCCCAAGATACCCAGCTGCACAACAGGAATGAAGACTCACCACAAGCAGCTCAGACCACTTCTAAACACTAAGCACCCACCCAGACCATCAGCACAGTCCTACAGGAAAAAATGCAGTGTGCAAAAATACCTGCAAAGCATATCGGAAGCCGTTCTCTTTGTCCTTTATGCAGCCCATAAGAAGGAAGCTGAAGGTCTCTGCAGTGACAATGTGACCTTTATGCACAATTTCCTAGAGGAGAAAGAGAAAGTGGGTTAGTTACCAGGGCAGCCTGTTTGTAGCTAACGGTTATACTGAAAGTGTTCTCCATCAGGCTGGGCAATGGAATCATTGCCTGGAGAATTACCTGCAGCAAACATGAAAGACTGGAGGAGTTCAAGTACTGAAGCCAAATAATGGCTGCAGAAAGACAGTTGACAGCTACTCCAATAGCATGTTCTACTTGAGGGAACTATTGAGGACAGTACAAGGAATTCTTTGTATAGGGGTAGAGTGGGTAGAAAAGGAGCAAAACAACAGCTATATATAAATGCACTGTTTGTAAGGGGGACCCCCCATACCCTTGAGTGTTACAAAACTCTCAACACTACCACAGCTGTAGCAATAACTACTTAAGGGGAGAGTTTCAAACTGGTCTCTAAAGTTTAGGCTTATCAGGTCCTGTTAAATCAAACATTTAGTTTCCCAGTTTCATTACACAAAACCCTGGATGCAAACACAAGAAACCTGGAATTTAAAGCTACCCCCTCAGTTTAAAAACAAATGCACCACGGCAGTATTACAACCAGGCTGCAAAGCAGGCTTTGAATGAAGGAGGAGAGCTGTGTCACACCACAGCCTGCTATTTACCTTGAGTACAGTGAAGCATAACCTGAGATCTGAGCAGATGGCACAAACTTTCAGCAGCGAGTGGTAGGTTATCAGATTCATCTCCAGATTTTTCCTCTTTAGTTCTTCCCATAGTTTGAGGGCACTCTGTAGGCCCGAATCTTTCCAGGGCGATTCAGCACAGGCATTGAACAGGGCTGTATACGTGGGATCCGTAGGGACTAAACCCCGCTTCTTCATCTACCTCAGAGAAAAAGTGAAAGAAAGGAGGTTATACTGCTTAACATTGACAAATTGGCTCCTTGGAAAACCTGTTAAATTATATAGGCCCTACAGAATGAAGTTACGGCAAATACTTGAGTTCTATACTGATAAGCCTCCATGAACAGTGAAAGCACCATTTGAAGGGCTTTTGGGAGTCATCTTTTCTAGAATAAGCTCTTGTATTGGGACAACACAGAGAGTCATGCTTTAGGTCACAAAAGCCCTCTTTACACCCCCTGACAGTGAACCCAGCCACCTAGACAGGCACGTATAATATTTACATCATTGTAAAGCCGGAATGCCTTCTTCACATAGCCGACCCTGCCACAGCCTCCGATCAGAACAGTGTAGTTCATCTCCTCGGGCCACAAGCGCTCCTCTTTCAGCATCTGCACCTCAAACAGCTCTAGGGCCTCAGCCACCTACAGAGGAAGAGACAAGAGAAGCAAGTGGTAATGAAAGCCATTATTCAACGTTCAGTGAAACAGGCATGCATGCACACATGGAATATGGAGGACGACTATTTGGTTTTTGCCTCAGGATGCTCCCTCCTCCATTCATTTCTTACGGAGTTAAAGGAACCTAATCCCTTTGGCTCAGAGGGGCCAGAGTGATCCAAAGTCCTCCCCTTCCTTTCCCAGGGACTTTGCTGAACTCCAGGCTTATGCCAACTTGCAGAGGAATAAGGAAGTGACTGCTCTTTCCACACACCACAATGACTTCCATCAGGACAGTAACAAAAGACCATGACAGGCTTGTTCTTCAGACCTTTGCCAATGGCTTAAGGCAAATGCTACGAAAACACCACATTTCCTGCAACTTCCAGGAGCGTCTGAGCCTAAGACAAGACACCAGTAATTCCCATTCAGGCTTGGCATCATGCTGAACATTCAGCACTGACGTTACATCCTTGGATCCTAGTCCATGGCTGACAAGAACACTTTTAAAATGCTTGTCAAGCCATTCATTATGTCAACTGTGAGGCCAACAGCATCCTCCACTACCAGCATAGATGCGTGGCAGCAGCCTGGCTCCCCTGCCCTCTGCGACTGGAGTAGCAATCAACTGTCTTTCTGCAGCCATCCTTCTGTTCCAGTACTTGAATCTCTCTGGTCTTTCATGTTGGCTGCAGGTAATTCAGGAAACGATGCCATTGCCCAGCCCCATGGACAGCACTTTCAACACAGCAATTCGCTGCAACTAGGCTATCATGGCAACTACCCAACTTTCTTTATGCACCGTTTGCTCGAGGAGAAAAAAGACCATGTTGTCACTGCAGAGACCTTCAGCTTCCTTCTCACGGGCTTCCTTCTCAAGGACAAAGACAGCAGCTTCCAATGTGCCTTACAGGTCTTTTTCCATGCTGCACTGTTTCCTGTAGGACTGTGCCGATGGTTTGGGTGGGTGCTCCGTGTTTAGAAGTGGTCTGAGCTGCTAGGGGTGCGTCTTCATTCCTGTTGTGCAGCTGCGCATCTTGGCAGGCACATCGAGCCCATTACAGTAGATAAATACAGCTACTCCTTGCTTAACGCCGTTGTTACATTCTTGAAAAATGCGACTAAGTGAAACGATGTTAAGCAAATCCAATTACGTCACAGTAGTTACCTATCAGCAGGCGGCAGCCAAACAACATTATAACCGAACATTGCGCGGCTTTAAACGAGTATGTTCTCTAAGAGATCAGCAACGTAATAATGAAACGACATTAATCGAGGCGACGATAAGTTAGGAGTACCTGTACGGCCAATTACTTCCGACTAGAAGCATCCCACTAGCGAAATGCTGTGGGTATTTCACGCCCTTCATTTTTTAAGCTACCTTCTCCATATTCTATGTGTTTTTCAAAGCAAGTTTGGCAACAAGAGGCTCAGCTGGGCATAAAGGCCGACAGTCACAACGACAAGCTGCTGCGTGGGGCTGCGCAACGCGGGATCTCAGAGCCGTGGAGGAGCCCGTGGCTCTCAGCACTTGCATCAGGCGAAGCCGCAGGCTGTCGGCAAGCGCTGGTGGCGACGATTCATTCATTGTCAAGGCTGGAAGATCATCGGCTCCAGCCCCTGCACCAGGCAGGAAAGATAACTGGTGACCCCAGCAAGGTGACCGTCCAGTCTCCTCTTCCAGGGTAGGCGACTGCACCACCTCCGGAGGGAGCTTATTCCAGTCTGGACGCCCTCGCGGTGAGGAAGTTTTTTCTAACGTTGAGCCAGGAGTTCATGGCCGTTACTCCTGGTTTTCCCCTCGGGTGCCCTGGTGAACAGTTGCTCACCGAGCCCTTCACGTCCTCCCCTAGTGCAGTGGCAAACTGCTACCAGGTCCCCGCTCAGCTTTCTTTTCCTCAGGCGGAAGAGTCCCAGATCCCTCGGCCTGCCGTGCAAGTCTCTGATCATCCGCCGACCGTCTACCCGGGTCCTCCCCTCTCCCCGGCCCCCGGGGCGCACGGACCTGGCCCTGGCGGAGCAGCGCGCGGCACCGCAGGAAGTACCAGCGCGGCGTGTTGTGGCGGCCGCCCCAGCGCCTCCGCTCGGGCTCCTCCTCCTCCTCGTCCTCGTCCTCGTCCCGCAGCGTCGGCCGCGCCTTGCGGTAGAAGATGCGCGACGAGAAGCGGC